TCCGTGTTCGCCGGGGAGGGAGGGGCGAGTCATTTGCATATAGTAGCTCGCGCGCGTCTAACCTTTCGAGAACTCTGGAACAACGCGGGGGCATAGGTGGCACTCGACAAGGCTACCATTATGCGGATCTCGCCACTCGTGTATGTTTGCTTCTTTATTTCTTGTGCCGCCTTCGTGTTTTTTTTTATAAAAATTGAAGGAGACGATTTCAAAAAGAAAACAAAAAAAACCAACAAAGGGGGCAAACAGCCTGTCGGAGGCCGTGGCAGCGTCAAGCGCACGTTCGAAAAAAAAGGGCCCTCGATCCGTGCTTGGCACGCTAATGAACCGTTGTCAGCCGGCCATCGCATCAGGGTTCGTACGGGGAGCAACGGCTGGCTGCAGGAGTGCGCCGGGGTCGAACGGTGACGGCGGACGTTGTGGCACAGGTAGAAAAGGGGGGTTTCCACCGCGTTAACCCTCTTTCGCGAAATGAGGGCCTTGCATGCAATGTCGTCGGTCTGGGCGCGCCGCGCCCAGACCACGTGATGCAACAGAGGGATCACTCGTCACTTCGAAGCACCCGTCGGTAGAGCTGGAGAGGGCTGCCTCGTGCATGCATGCGTTAAGAACAAGTTGGTTGGTATGGGCGACATGGGGCACCGCTAAAGGAGGACCACAATCTTGGCAAGGTTACGACGCACGCTGGCGGGGACAAGGGGCTGAAACAAGACGCAGCGTCGTACAGCACTGTTTCTTCGCATAGTCCCTATAGTCTGTAAGTGTTGAAACCCTTCTACGATGCCATAGCAACAAGCCCGCCAAGCTATCACCAAGAAAAACAAGTATTCGACGTGTCAGTCTTCAGATTCTAGTCGTTTAGTTGTTTAACAGCGAGGCTGTTTAGGCTTGCCGCAATTTGTCAGTTGGAAACAGGAATGATCATCATGATACACTGGCACATTCTCCCTGCATCAGCTTCTTCATTTCTGCCTAGTCCCCGGAACACGTGCACCTATTTGTCCGGCATGAGATTCAATAATGATGATCGGTGAGAGAATGAGTACATGAGAGAGAGAGAGAAAGAAGAGAGTATCGAATTTATACACAAAAAAATCGTTACGAAGTGGGATCCCAACCCGCACACTCTCTATGCCTAACCACTCGGTTATACTGGCACGCTCCTTGTAAGTTGTATGGTATATAGCGTAGCAAGAGGGGGGGGGGGGGGGGGCATGGAGATGAGGGCGAGGAGGAAAGGAAGAGAGTAGAGCATAATACAGAAAGCGTGAGAAAGAGAGAAATATGTAATGGGAAAGGAAGGGAGAATCAAACAAAGAGAAACATAGCGAGAGAGATAGAGGAAGGGATCAAAAGAAGGTGAAAACAAGCAAGAAATAGAGAGAGGGGGATGAAAGCGGAAGAGTAATAGAAAAAAGGAATTGAGAGAGGGAGGAACATATATATAACAAGAAACAGAGACAGCAGACAGAAGAAGAAAGAAATTAAAGGGTAAAAAGATAAAACTAGTGAACTTTAGCAAAACAGCAAAAGCCAGGACTACCGAGGTGCCCATCAGCTCCACTGGAGGCACTATACTAAAGAGACAACCTCTTTAGTGTTACTGTTTCTTTAGAATAGCACTTGCAGGGAAAACTATGATGTTTTTATGTTTTTCTTTGTGCGATCAAAATGAAGAATAACCAAGATATCCCTGGATCGTGTAACGTCTGGGTCCCGGTACAGAGAGGTACACTTATGTATGCTTCTATTCAAGGAGTTTGCAATCTCACCAAGATTAGTCTACCACCACATTCCGACGAAGGTGTACAGTAGTAATAGATCAATATTATACTATACATACTGAAATTATAGAACAGGAGCCAATGTCCAGCGCCACACAGCTAGAATAGAACAGATGACTCCAAACAAAGCACCAAGCGGCCAGCCAGTGGGAAGACCAGCAAGCAAGCCCAAATACGGAACATCATGCACTTATGAACCGAGCTATGTTATCAACACAAGCCCGCGACTACGTGCGGGAGCAATCAGGATGGTCTCCGAAGTAAACCTGGAGTGGTCGCTTACTCGCAACGTACGAAGGCCTGAAGAGTAAAAGAAAACGCTGACGAGTGTCAGAACGTTCTAAATATTTGTGATACTAGTACTGGCGTATCAGAACCAGACTTGGATGTTTTCCTCAGCGTGCTGATAATTTATTAACTTGCGGTGCAGTGACTCATCTCATCCAACAAATGTCCGAGTTTGCAAGCACAACCACATCCAAAAGAACCGCCTTCAGCGATCTTCCATATGATCATTGACAGCTGTCTCCCTCGCGCTTGATAAGGATTTCGTAAGCATGTCCGGCATGTTCTGCGCATAGCGAATAAGTTCTATGATATGTCATCAATACGCCCACCTGCGGTGCTCACTTATTGTTATTCTTTCCATTGATCAAAACCTAGACGCATTCTTGGACAGAAAGTTCATATGAATTCTCAGTCTTCAGCATGCCTTGCGTATGCATCGTTCATCTTTGTGTGGTCCCTGTTGTGACCTGGCGCTGTTTTACTGCACTAGCTTCAGTATTTCATTCTCAGTACAGTGAAATATTATTACCAGGTAAACCAAAAAGGCGATGTTTATTTATCACGCCCACACGTGCACTTGATGCGTGCGAAGTACAAAAAGAAAACTGCTTATTGCCCTTATCCAGCACTACCCAAACAAAAAGTAGCAGCAACGTAAGGAAATGCAAAGTTTGTCTGCAAGGTGCACTCATTTGTTTTTCTTGTGCTGCAATTAACCAGTAATCGCGCCACAATTTTCCTCCTCAGTCCTTCAATATTTCCGAGTGCTCAAGGTCTCTACAAACAACTTCCGAGCTCCCCTTGGAAACATTACTGTCAAAGCCTTCGTTCGCGTATGACGAACTAGACCTGCATGCCGTGCGCGTTGGCTCCTTTCGGAGGAACTCGCCGGACGCACGCGGCTAACGAAGGCGGCTTGTGATGGTCGTGACTGATAATCGGCTGCCCCGTCTGCGTTCCTACGCCATCCATCACACGTGCCGCCGCCAAGCGGAGGCTAGCAGAGAGCGCAGAAAGCTGCCGCGGCCACGTCGGGAGCCGTGAGAAACGGCGACCGAACCGCCTTAAATGGACGCATCGAGAGCACGCCATTAAATGGTTCTACCTGCCCCAGAGGGCGCTCGCTGCCGATGCTCTCCAATGTCCTCTGCGTGGCCCAACAGGGCAAACTCACAGCGTGTATTGTTGGGTTTGTTGTTGATTTTTCACGGGGACAGGTGTCTTAGCACGTTGCATTCATCAATCAATCAATCAATCAATCAATCAATCAATCAATCAATCAATCAATCGATTAATCAATCTCCCTCTCTCTTTTACGCGCCTACACTTTACAGACATCAGCATTGGGGGTGTCTTACGTGAGACAGGATACATAGGAAAGCACGACTAGTGAAACTGAGGTGCGAAGTCTAAGTGATACTCAACGTGCACACTCCCATGCATTATGATGTACTTTGTTAGATTTATGCGCACTGGGTGCTCCTTTCGCGGGGAACCCTATCGTTAACTTTTGCTCCGTGCACTCTGGGCTACTTTCTATGCATATAAGGTATGCCTGACATTCCTCGCGGGTTTGAAGTAGAGAAGGCACCGTCCAATCCATTCAAGCTTTAGAGTACTGGCACGCGACAAATATATGCAACACGCGCCTCAATAGAAGAACATACTGTAACAGCGTTTTGTTACTTTGCAGGGCCCTCGCATTGCGAAATAAGAAGGCGTTCTGACAAAATAATATAATAAATAAAATGTTTCTACATGAAATAATAAAAATAAATAAAATGTTCCTACATGAAAGGTTCTTGCACGACTGTTGCTGGCTGCGTGAATCCCATACGTTAATACTGCGAGACCTGCAGAAATGAGTACGTAACTCGCGAGCTGCTGCCTATCGAGGCTACTGTGGCTGAAATCTGAGTTTGCAGAAATGTTGTTACTGAAAAGCCTTATTACGAGAAGGAACACAACGCCTTTAGGCACATTGTGCTCTCTGAGAACTTCGCTGAAGTTAGAAATGAAACATTCAACATTGTCGTATGATATCGTTGAAAAATTAATGTCTCAGGGGTCAACGTGTCGATAAGGACACTTGTTTCATTGAAGGCCTTGACGAAGGAACGTTCTTTCCAACAACATTCCTTGTTCTGTGACATTTCACGACTCCAAGCCTTCATCGCCCTTGATTATATACGCCTCGTCAACTATGAATTGTCATATATATGAATCCACCGTCATATATGCATGGCGATGGAACTGCATCCTCACGAGTTAAGGGACATTTGCACTTCTTATCACCCGTCCTGTGCCTCTCGGTCTATGTGAATGTATTTTTGCGCTATCATGTTCCCAAGATAGCGGTGCAATAATCACACTTATCTACAGGGTTTGTCAACCAAACTCATGATAAACCTCAAAAGCCGTCCACTCACTTCGCATTGTTGAATATTATCAAAAGAAATAATTGCGGTTGTTCTACCATATGCTTTAAATATACATCTATTTGCTATAAGCTTAATTGTAACCCAACTAGTGTAACAACGTTGCATTCATTTCTAAAGGGAAAAAAAATCAGAGCACTCCTCTTTTCACAACGCATAGCAGTGCGCATGCTTTAACGTGCTCCATATTTTTGTGCTTCTAAGACGCATTTAGTAAAAAAATGTCCGAAAAATATTCTTTAGTGTGAATGTTTTACTAATTTGTTTGGCTTCAGATATTTTTCTGTAACATTATTAGAGTAAACATACTTGCAGCCGCCATAGATGTCCTTTTACTGATAACAATCAGTACCCTTTTGACAAATTGGTTTTCTCGAAAGCTTTTTTTTTTTGTAATGGCATTCACGTCATGGGTTAAGTAAACTCTCAAATGCATATCGGAACATTATGCCTCGTATCGTCATCCCGCTGACTCCCGAAAAATACGCAGGCGGTGATCCGGAAGATGCGCCTGACGTGCAAGTGTCACGGCGTGTCCGGCTCGTGCTCGCTGGTGACCTGCTGGAAGCAGCTGGCGCCCTTCCGCGAGGTGGGCGACCACCTGAAGGACAAGTACGACAGCGCCACCGAGGTCAAGCTGAACAGGCGCGGAAAGCTGCAGGTGCGCCACCGCAAGTTCAACGTGCCCACGCTCGAGGACCTCGTGTATTTGCACGAGTCGCCGGACTACTGCGTCTACAACGAGACGCTCGGTGAGTTCAGTCGTGGTGCACATGACGCAGCTAGAAGAGGAAACCCTAAACTGTCCATGTCATACTACTTTACTCAGACTTTGGTTTGTGTACATAATGCACGCCCAGCACTGGCGTAGCCAAGGGGTGGCTTAGACCTCCTGTAGGTCACCGCAACCAGTCTTCATATCGGTACCGCTTTCTTCGGTGTAAAAGAGACCACTACCTGTACCAGGGGGTGGCACATCGGGTACCTGCCCCTCACGAAATTTCTCTCTGTCCAGAGAGCACAAAATTATACCCGAGCACATTTGTCTGCCTGCACAACACTTAGGAACAATAACCTGCCCCCCCCCCCCCCCCCCATGGAAATAAATTTGTGCCTACGCCACTGATCCCTAATAAATCTGTCCATAATCCATAGCCACATGTCACCATTACGATGGAATGTTTTGCATCATAATGCTCAATATATTAGTGGACATATAGTAGTGGATCGAGACAAAGTGTGTGTGTATTGTGTACCTCACTTAATGTATAATTAATAATTAATCCACTTAAAGCCGTCAGTGTCAACTATTCCAATTTAAGAACAATGCTGATCAAGACCCATGTCTATGATTGAACTGGAAGACTTGCTTTCATTTAAGTAACCAGAAGTAGAAATTCTAGCTCCAAATTGAGTTTGTACACTGTCCCCGCCCCATAACTGTAACAAGTAATATTGTACATAAGCAGCTAAACCTTGGAATTGGCTGCTTACAACATTAGAGTTTTGCCCCACCGTTACGTTCCTTGACTATCTTATTTCTGCTGTAACTAGTGCAAATATTTACAAATATATAAGAAATACATGTGACCGACAAGTAAGAACGCTTGCAATTGTCTGCTGTGTTTATTTATGTGTGTGCAAACTTTCTGCTGGTTACTGTTGTAATGTTCTGAGACTAACTAGCTGCGTGAACATTCCAATCGGACATCTTATCGTGGTGGCTAAGTAATCTCTTTGTGTGCCATGACTTTGTCGCGAGCAGTGTGAAATCTAATCTTTGCAAACGCAGCATTGTCATTCTCAACAAAAAAAAATGTTCACGCAGGCTCCCTGGGCACCACGGGACGTCGGTGCAACAAGACCTCGTCATCCACCGATGGCTGTGGTCTCATGTGCTGCGGCCGGGGTTACAACAGCCACAAGCTAAAGCTGCGCGAGCGTTGCAAGTGCAAGTTCCACTGGTGCTGCTACGTGGAGTGCAAGACTTGCGTGAGCGTCATCGATGCGCAGACCTGCAAATAGGGCACAACCTGTGGACATCTTGTCACGAATTTCGGGAGTGCCCTACCAAGTACGGCAAACAATTGTCGTCGAGGCACAACCCCGGCCTTGAGTGAAAAAAAAAGTGAACAGTCGTCAGTCGACGTATGCATTTTTACGCGGTTCGGAGACCAGGAGGTCCATCACAAACTACTTACGTCTTGTATCTTAGTTCGTAGTTGACGTCAGTATATGCCTGGTGCACGTCGGACGAAAGCGGGTTTACGCGTGAAAGACATTTTTCTAGCCTCAGTAGTGGGCTCCTTTTTACGGAAGAGAAATTTCCTGAAGACTGCTTTTTTTTTTGTGGAAGGCCGCATGCTTTAACAGTCATGAGTGGAACAGCTGGACGTGTCCTGGAAGACCTTTTCTCGCAACGTTGGATTGCTGGACCAATGGTAGGACATGCCTTCTGGCGAATTGACTTGACCTTGGCGTTTTCGTCGCTCAGGCGGACCATGGTCAAGCTCACGACGATAAACCAAACCAAAAGCGACACCATCACCATCACTACATTCGCCAGCAAGCCGCCATTGCAAACTTCTGCTTCTGTGAAGAGACGTTATGGAAGCGTGAGGAAAAAATGACCAAGTAGTCGTAAGCTCCGCATTGTTTCGCAGGGGAGATGAACAGTGTCGGTGAGATTTTTAGCTGTTCTGGCCCTGCATCGTGCACCAACGACTAACAACGTCTTTTCAACGATGCAGTGACCTAATCACGTACTGTTGGCTCGAATGCTGGAAATAGTGCTGCAAAGACACCGAAGAAGGCTTGAGATTTATACATTGATGTAATGAAATTGTCCCTGTGAAAGTGGCATCTTTTGTACGGCTGCTATTGCAACCACTGAAACTTCCGCGGTAGGACTCACGAATGAAGCAAAACCATCAATTGTTCTCAGAGACTCGCACTTTTCCTGGCGTTGCTGTGTCCCATTTTTTTTCTTCACCAGCGTCCTACATAAAGATCGCTATCAGCATGTCATAAATGTTGCCTTGTAAAAGATTCGTCTAACAAGGAGCTGCGTGCATTGTTTTTTTTTCGTTTTGTTGTGTCCATGTGCTGTTTTCGTGTCAATGTACTTGCGTTTACCAATGATGAGAAAAAAATATGCCCCGATTCATTCACCATATTCACGTAGATTATTTATTGTGTTTCCAGCATGCACCACACTATTTTGCCACGTTTGTGCCGCCGTTAGTGTTCCGTAGTTATAAAGTGCCACGCTGTACTGTTCTTTGTTCCATATGTGCTTCGGATGATGTCAAGGTATTCATTACAGCCGCTATGAAGACGTACTGATAGACGACTTGGGTGCAAGTTTTTCGCCATCATCTTTCTTCAATGATGAGATCACTTGCGTTTGTGAAGGCACCGGTGATGCATTGTCGTATTTGCTTGCACTCCTGTCACAAAAACTGTATACACAGTCACTGTATACGCAGCGGTTCACGGTATCCACAAACACTGGGCCATACACGGATAAGTATCAGTCCTATCAGTCATAATACGTGCGTCTCTGACTCTTTAACAAAGTGCTGAAATGCCATTCTGAAGGGGGAGTGCCCTGCACGTACATGTAAAACGTCGTCATTTGTAACAGCAAGTGTAACAAGCCCATTAATCATCTTTGTCGTCTCCCAAATTGCAGTGCCACATAGTGAAAAACTGTGAAAGCTTTTTGGCCGCGACTATAAAGGATAATCAGAGTACCTGATTGGCCTCAAAGCGAAAACAGCCAACCATAATTTAACAGCATGCTGTACCACTACGCTGGACCTATTCACACATCAGTTTCCTCGTGTAGATTATTATTATTATTATTTGATTTGCATACACAGATACACAAGGACACAGAGGAAAGAGGGAGAGAGCAACATGGCAACTGCCACCTGGAGGGGCACAACGCCTGCTCACTCTTTAGGGAGGAGGGAAGAAACAGAGGAAGCAAAGTTTAGAGTGAAGAAAAGGAAATGGAAATGAGGAATGAAAAAAAAAATGACGAAGACTTCGACGAGTGTGAGTAAAAAAACACAAATAAAAATAAAGGAAAACAGCAATCATTCATAGCCGCTCATCGATATCAGCAGCAGCCGGCGACCTTGCAGGACGAAGTCGCTAAGCCATTTCTCGACTGCCAATGAAAGGGGTCTGTTTCTGGTTGACCTGAATGTCCGTGCCGAAGTTTCCTTGGAAAAGGGGGCTGGGCATCGGCACATAGCGGGCTTCGACCACTATACAGGTGGACCTAGAATAATCAAGATCTTTATGACAGCGAGTGATCTGAAACTCAATAATATATTCGCAATCAGGTGCAGTGATTTTTCGAGAAAACGCCTCTTAACCAATCGTTCACGGATTTTTGGTCCAAGAATTTATTTCGGTGACCTTTCGCCGTAGACTAGGAATCCACTGCGCTCAATTGTAGCTGATGTGCGTTTAAAAACCACTGTAAACAAATTTATCTTGTTTTTCTGTCTGTAAGTGTAAGGTGGCACGAATCACCTGTAGGTATTGTTTGACTACAGCGAACGTCCAAAATACAGAGAACATCCTACCATGCGATTCGTATCGTACATGAATAACAACACGTCAGAACGATGGACAACTTGAAAAGTCACAATGCTTACAGCAACAATCCAGTCACAATCCTAAACGCTGCTAATAAACGCTGTTATATATGCCATAAATAGACGAACCAATTTTTTAATCTGACAAATCATTCTCCACGGAAAGAAACACAAACCTACCAAAAGAACGGATATTTTCATTTGCTAATTTAATAAACGAATAAATACCTTATCCGAAATTTCGAAAAGCCAGTATTTAACATTCACGATCACCTACAATGGAGCTAGTAAAACTGTTGTAGAAACACTTCATGTTGCCTAGAAAACAAGAAAATTATAAAGGACAAAATAACATCGTGGCTGCATGCAGCTCAAGCTTTTCGTGATCAAAGCGGAAACTTTATTTTAGCAAGGGACCTAGAACTAGAAAGCATGGTAAGGACTTTAACCACAACCACAGCACACACCGGATTTGTAAGAAAAGATAGCTCTGGTCTTAAGACATGGCGTTCTTGATTTTCTCTTTTACGAATGCTTTACACACTTCGGATGCAAGGTGTTCGCGACAAAGCTTAGAGAGCGCAGTGTACGAAGCTTCGTAAATCATGCGGGACCCTTTCGCGGAAAGGCAATAGTTATAATTGCACAGCTAATTGCTGACCACCAGAAAAGCAGCTCGGCGTGTTTCTTCTCATCGTAAGCTTTTAACACTCGTTCTTACTCATACTCTTGCTTTAAAATTTTACGTACATTGCTGACGCGACGCGTGGCACTACATTGTATCTTGTAAATAAAGTTCACGTGGATATGTATACCTCTCATCCTTGTCATTTCGCGATAACAGGCAGGCATGACTGCACTGTTGATTGCATGCATCTGCTGTGAAATTTATTGTTCTTTTGGTTCTTTACAGAGTCGAGTATTTCGATTTCGTTCTACTGGTCGTTCAGGACAACACTTTAGATTTTGGGAGAATGTGAACTGAATAAAACAATGTATATTAAGATAATGGGCCAAGTGAAGGAACTTTTCAAAGCAATGATCACGAGAGATTATTAGTACGCAGTATAAAGCACATATTTTCGAGCCAAATCGAGGATTATATTTGAAGTATGTTTTTTTTAAAGTTTTGTAATTAAAAATTATTAAGAGTATGCCTTGCGTGAAAACTAACTCAAGTACCGCCCGTTAAAAATATTTTTTGCAAGCACTTAAAAATGCTGTGACCTGTGCAATGAGCCAAAACAAATGAGCTATAATGAATTTTAAAAACAAAAATATAAGAGCCAGAAAAGTATTCTTTAGCGCAAGGAGCACTTTAGTATGACTGGCCGCCATAATAAATCTTGTAGCATGATATGTATTATTGAGGTTCATTGCACGCCTACAAATATAAAAAAGAGGTGTGCCAAGTTTTATTAAAAATGTTCATCAGGAAAGTATATAGTTACGACTGTTCACGTGTGGAAAGATACCGGAAAAATATAAATTTCGAGAAAATAAAAAAAAACTTATTTGAAACAGGTGCATGCACAAGATGATCGAGAGGGCTGAAATGCGTTATAATCGTAACCAGTTCTATAGGGGATGTCACACCGGTCCCGTTAATTCGGGAGGCAATCGCCGGGCTAATTCCAACGGCCGAAGTATCGGCCCCCCGAACCGCACCACGAAAGCGTGGACAATTTAGAAGTGGTCCTTCTTGGCGCGCCAGCGGACGCCGGCTGTGGCCCAAAGAACAAGTCAGAGCCGAGAGTTGATAAACAAAACAAATATTATATTCTCAAAAATGGCAGATCGAAAACAATACACAAGAATGCACACTCCACAATAGTTACATACAATACGTCACCAATCAAACAACGTACTACACAGTACAATCAGCCACACTCAAAACAACGGACACAGACAACGATACGCACTACAATGCAGTCGCATGCATTGAACCACCAAGACACTTAAAGACTAAAGAGATAGAAAACCTATCCAGTCCAAAGTTCTTGGAACAAAAGTCTGGATGATACTCTTCCGAGAATCACTCACTCAAAGTCCAGCGTTGTTGTCGTTCCGCGCCCTCGAAGTTTCTCTTCCAGGAAACCTCGCGTCTTCAATTGGCCACTCTCTAAGCTTCAAACTTCTTCGCCGGAACACGTCGGCTTCACACACGCAGCTGTTGCCACGCGTCTTCGCTCGATAGCGGTAAACACACGCTCTTGCCTGTTGCTCGAGCCTTCACCCATCAGGTGGAAGTCCTCTTCTTCTCCTGCTTTGTCGCTACGGACAAAACCTTCGCCGACTACACGGCGGAATCCCTACGCGCTCTGGCGCTAACTTCCGTCTTCTCCTGCTTTGTCTCTACAGACAAAACCTTCGCCGACTACACGGCGGTATACCCTACGCACTCTGGCGCTAACTTCCGTCTTCTCCTGCTTTGTCTCTACGGATAAAACCTTCGCTGACTACCCGGCGGAATCCCTACGCGCTCTGGCGCTAACTTCCGTCTTCTCCTGCTTTGTCTCTACAGACAAAACCTTCGCCGACTACACGGCGGTATACCCTACGCGCTCTGGCACTAACTTCCGTCTTCTCCCGATTTTTCGTCTCCGCTGCTCGGTTAAATACCTTCCGCACGACATTCCAGAAAGTTCTCGTCATTTCGTCGGCGCGATACGCAGCGAAGGCTGGGTAGGGGGTGAGACGGTTCGAATGCCCTCCGCGATGGATGACTCAACCCGGCGTGACCACGCCTCTTTCGTTCTAGAATTCTCGCGCGCTTGCTCGGCCGCCGATGTGGGGTGAGGAGGTTCGTCGGCGAAGCCACGCTTCCGAGGGGAGAGCGCGCGCCCGGGGAGCCTTGGATGTTTGTTTTCTTTTCTTTTTTTTTTTTGACCTCCCGGCGTCTCCCCCGCGCGTTATCGCAAGAATTTGGCGGCGCGCCCATTTTTAGCGCTCGTTCTGTGACACTGCCCCCCCACTTTCAGAATATTATCTCATAATATTCAAAACCACACAAACGAGCGCGAACAGTCACCACACACTCTCAAAGACTGTGACATAGTCCGTCGCTCATGACACGTCACATTCACAATAGATCGCTCAATACCATCGTACATTGTAGTTCAATTCCACAACACATGAAATATAGCCACAGGTACATGACTACAACACTTCATCACACATTCCAAACAATACAAACGTACAAAGTTCTTTCATTACAACAATTATACAACACTACACGTCACATCATCGCACAGAACACTTTGACTCGCTCGACATACACTTGAGACACAGGATAACAAGAACATTAACACAACATATGTCACTCAGCCCTGCCAAACACATTCCGATTCCACCTCAGCACCTATCCTGTGTATTTCGAGCTGCGCTTGCGTCCTTTCTTGCGGTGCTCGCTCGATCTCTTCTTGTTTTTCCTTGTTCTTTTTCGGCGAGCCTTTTCCAATGACGGTATCTGAGGCAGCGTCTCAGCCATCGCTGTCACTTCCGACCCTGCTAACGGGTCACGACGTTCGACGGGTCCTGTCTGTTTATTTACCAGCTTGTTCATGTCTCTACGTTTGGCCCGGCTGGCCGACTCCGTCACCTTTACACTGCCGGTCGGTTGAGGTCGTGCCGACGTAAGTCCAGCTGCCCGGCCCGTGAACTCATTCAACACGATCATCTTTTCATTTACGGTCTCTTGTACCGCGGCTTCACCTTGGGCTCTAGTGAGATCCGTCACGGGCGGCTCCTCCCTCGTATCGCGCGGTCGCTGGGTTGGCGAGGACTCTATCTTAGGGTCTTCTCCCAAACATTCCGGATCATTCGGTCCTCGCGCCCCGTCGATGTTTCCGATGACAAGGTCGTACAGGGGGGTCGTCATGCATAAAGCAGTAACCTTCCCGCTGAAGTACGGGGTTTCAACCTCAATTTTTGCTTCGTGGAGCATCCGAACCATACGGTCAATTAGGCAAACCGGTTTCGTTTTGCCTGTTAACTCACTCTCCTGCACGAAATTTCTCCGCACGATAACAGTGGAGCTGCCGGTATCTCTTAACACCGTA